TGGTTTCTATAAATTAAAAATAAGATAACAAACAAAACTATTTAATTTGATACATGAGGTTAAGAAAATTGCACAACTGCCACCTGAAATCTTGTCTAGAGCGCCACATTGGMTAGGTCCGGCCCTGTTAAACACTTCGTTAATCAGTCCGTTTGTAGTTTTATTTGTGAGACTATAATATCTGTGGGYAATCTAAAATAATGTAATAAAAATGTTTGATTTTTATCATATTTAAAAAAGCATCAAATGAGAGCACTGAGACCAAGTTCAAATTGTGAGTAAAGATCTTTTTTTACTCAAAACAGCTAATATAATAAAAAATTATTTCAATATCATTGCTCGAGGCCTTAGGCATTAAACTAACCGCTAATCATCACACAGCAGGTATAATTTAGGTGTTAGACAAGAAGAAATATTGGATGTGACGTCAGAAGGGGAGCTGAGTGCATCAGAGGGAAAGAGAAGATGCTCCAGATCCAGAGTCATTATTTCCACTGGTGGCTTCAGTTGGATCAATGGAAAACTGTGTGTGTGTGTCTGTGTTTAGGAACATATGTCCAAACATGCACACATGCACACACACAGACGGAGGCAGCCAGGCAGGCACAATGCATGTGGGCAGGCGGCCAACTGAACACACACACACACACACAAACACACACACATACACACACATGCACACACACACGTTGCTGCTGGTGTTGGCACATTGTCCCAGCAGAAATGAAGACTGAGGCCCGATCGCGCTAACAGCAGAGGACAGCCTCTGGATAGATTTCCAATACCCAACCAGAGGCTTAAGCAAGACAGAGTCCCAGATAATCCTCCCGCTTTCTTCTCCTCCTCCACAGCTCTGTYGCTTTACTCTTCCTCCCTTTGCCCTTACCTTCATCACTCGCTCCCTTTTTCAACAGCTCCCCCTCTTCTCCATCCTTTTGTTACACTGCCAGGGTGCGTTTTCCACTCCTGTCATCCTCGCTTATTTCTTCAAAAGTCATCTGTAATTCTCTTATGGCTCCTTCAGTCTCACTCTTCTGGTCTGTTTTTTTGGTTTCTCAGATGATGTTTTACCTTTCGAGCAGCTGCGGTTGAGTCACGTCGTCAAGTTATGATGCTGTTTGGCATTGAAGTTTATTTCCTATATAGTTATTAAAACAAGTCCGATGGAGTCTGCTTGTTTAGTATGGTTTCATTTTTTCCATTTTACATAAGAAATATGCTTTTGACTCWACAGCTGGCTTAAGTTGGACTGAGAAAATAGACTAGGAAATGTACTGTAAAAATACAACGATTTCCATTTTAAAATAACAGAACTTTACATAAATTTAACATGAAAAAGTATTTAATAAAATTATGGGGGAAACCTTTTTTTGTGACGGAAATGTCAATTGATGGAAACTGTGGTGATGTTTGTCAGAACATTCCCTGTTGTTTTACAACGCAGGTGAAAATCTGTCACATTGGCTAATTTCTAGCCCTTTTTGTGCTGTCTACGCATGATTAGACTGTGGCGACTATTTTGAATCAGATTGATTCCTGTTAATCAGGTGTAAAAATGTCCACTGATTACTTTCTAAGAGTTTYATTAAAATCCATCCAGGYGATTGCATRATTGCCCGCCTAAAGTGACAAAGAAGAAGGACATAGAGAACTCATAAGGTCAAAAAAGGTGCAATGAAGCAAATTWTCTGCTTCATGGCTGAAATGTTGTAGAGTATTTTAAAATCCCAAGTTAAATATAAGTGTTAACAGAAAAGTTGTGCTGTTTATTTATGATTCCATTTCTTATAAGGAAAAGTCTYTTTATTTCAATTTGGTGATCCAAAAGTTTTGTATTTTCTGCCAATTATGTAACTGAAATGATGAATGGTCTTAAGGATCATTTACTTTTTTATTTAACATCAGCAGGAACATTATGGCTTATGCAACAAAACGTCCGTCTTTTAAAAGTTAATAAATGTTGCAAACATCTTAAATTGTCCCATAAAATAAATATAAAAAAGTGTCAAACGTTTGACCTTCCTGTTATTCTTGACTCTAATTCAAACCTTTAAAACTTAAAAAATGCCRAGCAGGAGCCATGCTTTTCTTTTCAGGTGCTGGGGAAGGCTCAACTTAATGAAACATAAAGAAAAAACTATTAAAAATGTCTCCTATAAAATCACTGAGCAGATCAAATCATCTGAGTGAAAGTGAGCTGGCAGCCCGGGTGTCCAGCACCCAGGGTAGCCATCAGAAATCAATTACCATCCCTAACAGAGGTATCATCATGCCTGTGGCACAGTGCCCACAGAGAAAATTACTCTCTGATTGCACTGCTGCTGCAAAAGAAAGTGTGTGTGTGTATGTGTGTGTGTGTGATTCCACAGGTGAGTGTATTTGTTCCAAAGCTACATCATGTACAGCGAGAAGTCAAACAAGTGTCAGTGTGTTCGGCTGTGTTTCCTCTCATGCATGCCTGATGCCCTCACAACTCAGACAAGAGGCCTGAAAATAAGAGCGTTCAGATGTAGAGCAGCTGTTAGAGAGAACGCCAGCATCCAACGCAGGCTATCAGAGTTGGTATTACCGAGCGCAGCTGGAAATGAAACTGAGACCCAAAGAGACGGAGGTATCAGGAGGTGTAACGTGGAGCTTCGGAATATTAAATATCTTTCGCTTCCTGTTTGAGCTGTAGTTTTTTGTCCCCGAATCCCTCAGAGAGGATTTTGACTTTTATTCTGATTTCATCTACAGGAAAAAAAAAGTTAGTGTCAAATTTGGTGCTGCCATATTCCATCTTGAGAATAYGTGTCCATCTTTTGTACACTGTGGAAATAAACCGAAGCCTCTTTGAGTAACAAACTGTCTTTAAATTTAAAGTCATCTTAATCTGTTAGCTCAGAGACACAGTTGCAGATAACTCTCAGCTACCACCACAGAGTTTGACATAATTATCTGTAAAACTGACTGACTTATTTTCCTTTGTGTGTTTGCTAATATCAGTTAGCTGTGGCAGCCATTTTAAATTGAAGTAACTCCAAAMGTTAATCAGCTGTAGGCRAACATTCAGTGATAATATTCTGAAGGTTTCWTTCAAATCGGTTTGGTGKTTCTAGAGAAATTTTGCTAACAGACAGACTGGACTGACACCAACAAGGGCAAAATTTTAGGCARAGATATTGCACCGTGTGTARCAATTGAAAAGTGCATTGAGGGGKATCCTCAGCTGCTACCACACCAAATCTTAGCTTAATTTCTGTAAAATTGACTGAGTTATTGCAGTTTTGGTGTTTGCTARGTTTGCTTAGCTGTGGTGGCCATCTTGGATTGGGTTAACTTTAAAAAAATGAGCTCATTGTAAATGTGCATCCAGTGATTACAAACACACAGACACAAGCAAAAGCACAATCACCTTTTCCTTTAACGGAAACAAATAATGTAAGTGCGCGTGGTGCTGATCCATTTCAATGCTGGTGCTTTTCTCACAAAGCGTTTTAAGACTGTGAATGGAGCATCTGAAATAATTAGTGGAGAAAAGCAGGGCATAAATAATCTTGGAGGTGGTGTTTGTCTTCGACYGATGACAGCCACTATCTGTCACACAGCTGTCACGCTGCTGTCAATGAGCCAATGAAGACTGAACTGTCCGTGGTGCTGAAGCCACCATGCAACTTCACACACGCTCGCTCAACTGTCCTCTAAAAGAAAAGCACCAATAGAAAGCACTTCTATGGTTTGAATGACCATGTTTAGTTTGTGCTGAACTCTATAAAGTCACTTCATCAAACTCAACCAAAACAACATTTGTGTCATTTTGTGCAACTTTTATTTCAGTCTGAAAGTTACTGTGACTCTGCTGTYGATACCCATTTTTCTTACGCACATTTTTGACACGTAATGTCTTCCACAGTTTTTGTGCTATTTCAACAATTCACGAATCAAAGCATTCAGCTCATTCAGGGTGTTCCTGCTATGACTTTTTACTTTTTGAAATAKTTAGCTCTTTTTAGACACTTTTTCTTCCCCCATTGAAAATAATAATGAGCGCCTTTAAAATCCTTCGAACCCTTTGTGTTTAACCACCTTTCACTGCTCGTTTCACCTGTTGCTCTGGTTTTTACAGCTTTGTTTGTGCTCATTTCAGCTTCGTTTAGCTGCTTTCTGAGTATTTCTGATAATTTAAGCACTTTTCTGCTTTTTTCAACTACGTTTCAGCAATTTTTTCAACTAGTTTCAACTTTTACTTTACAGCTCATTCAAGCTTTTCTTTTCTTTTTCTTTTTTCAATTTCTCTTGCTTTGACAGCTGTTTGCAATGTGGGGGGGGCATGAAAGTCAGGGTCTGCACTTGGGATTTATCTGAGTTAAATAGGGAAAAACTTTACAGATTGTAAATACCTAAACTGTCCATGAAAAGAGCTACTTTGCTATAAGGAGTCTTGCTTCTATTAAACACGTTACATGCTTTATGCATGTTGTCTTATTGTATATACAGCCTATAATGAAAAACACACCTAAAAAGGCCTTGTCTGATAATAATACACAGCTACAGTAAATAATAATTATGGCTGCACTGGTCTGCATCCTTCAGACAGCAGGATGGACACGACAGCTGCTTCTGCAGGTACAAACCCAGCAGCGTGTGATGAGCTGCTTCACGCTGCAAACTGTTGGTAAAGGTGCCACGCTGCGACACACACACACACACAAACACACACACACACACACACACACACACACAC